GGTTTAGGGTTTAGGGTTTTCCCTCACTTAGACAACCAGGTATAAAGGGATCCGAATGGATGGATCGAGAAACATAGCGGCGAGAGACAGGCAGGCAGAGCGTTGGATAGATGCACACCTAGACAGGTTGTGTTCCAAACCTACACTACATGTAGATTGAATACCCTAAACCCAAAACCCTAAACNNACCCTAAACCCCTAAACACTACACCCAAAATTTTGGTAAAATGAACAAGGACGAACCCTGGAGAGTGGCAAAAAACATATTGAGAAATAAGCAAAAGCACATCAGAACGAAGCAACAGAACACGCAACAATATTCCGGCCACTCCCAAACCTTGAACCCTTGTCGTTGCCTTGCCTCAGCCTTGAACTTCGCATGGATGCCTGCTGGACATGTACTGCCTAAGCTCTCAACTCACTACATGACCTAGGAACCGAATTCACAAGCCTCTCAGTTCCTCTTGGGCAGGGTTTAGGGTTTCGGGCTTAGGNNNAATCCAGACACCCTAAACCCTAAACCCTAAACCCTCCCCGGCTCCTCCTTAGGATTCTGGACGTGCTCCGGCTTGAGGGTATGAAGGCTCCCGTCGGTCGAGTAGCCCACCCTTAAAGGATTCCTTAAATCGAATCCCTCGCGGAAACCTTAAGGATCCCTTTCCGGAACCCTAAACCCTAAACTTACTCTGCAACGGCTTAGGGTTTAGGGTTTAGGGTTCAGGGTATCTTGTTTGACAAAATGTCCCGGGTTCGGGTTTGAGTCTCAAAGCCTGACAGCCCAGAACCAGACGCACGTCAAGCCCCACTCAATTCCATTTCACCTCGTGCAACTCGCAAGCACCACAAAGAGCTCGTAGCACCGCCCAGATCCAAACCCCAAAAACCCTTACAGAACACTCGTAGCTCCCCAAAAACTGCGAGCGCATTGCAAGAACCCAGAAGCGAAACTCTCCAATGCCCAAAACAAAGGAACCCCCAAATCCTAAACCCGTATAGAACGGCTTGTAGAACCCCTATGAAAGCTCGCAAAGAACCATTATAGGAACCCTTATAGCACCCCTTACAGAACCCTCATACTTGGAGGTTCAGAGGTAGTGACAACTGGAGCTATAAGCCCCCCTGATATGGATTAAAATTATCCTAACCCTACTTATATACCCACTTATACCGACCCTAAACCCTAAACCCTACAGAACCCTTATAAGAACCCTATAACCCCACTTATAACTACCCTAAACCCTCAACCCTAAACCCTAGACCCTAAACCCTACAAAACCCTCAAAGGAACCCTATAACCCCTTAGAACCTCCAAATAGAACCCCAACAGCCAGAAGCACCAGGATCCGGTTGCCAGCCACCGAAGCCGCAGCCATCTGCGCCGCAATCCTGCGAGCCATGGGTTTAGGGTTTAGGGTTTTGAGGGTTGAGGGTTTAG